GCTGCAGAGGGCTGTACCATGAAGCAAGATCAGTGGCTTAGCCAGACATGTTGAGTTGGGTTTTTCATACTACAAAGGTGGCTCTTTTAACCTGGCTAGATTGCCATGGTCAACTATGCTACAAACCTAACCTGCTTGGGACGAGTTTATGCTCCGAGTCTCTGCTTCAAATCAGCTAAAAAGTACCTTTCACTGCTCCTTTGAGAAGCGTCACTCTATAATCAATGTGAATATATGAGCGATGCAGATTGTCAGCTGAGGGAAAACATTATAAATGCACTTTATCCAACTTGTTGAGCCGTAACGTTACATACATGTCCCCGAACAAAGCTGTGTGATTACAGTAGTGTTTACTGTATCTATCACGTCACTTTATTTTAACACAGGAACCTAGAGTCCATCAGTGATGCTGAAAATCTGAGGACCATTGTTTTATTTTATCTGTAAGGTTGTTGTTGCTCTCACTGAACTACTGAATATATTTGTGTCCTCTGGTCCATCTGTCCACGCTGGCTCTAAGAAAAGCTTCTTTAAAATCACAGGTAGCAAACAGGTCACTATATTATTAATCAGGATGATGTTTACTGTCATATGAAATATGATAGAATCCTGTCAAAGCACCATAACGTTACCACTGTGGATTAGGTTTTATGTTTGGTCCTGATATGCTGAAGTCTGTTTTACACTGCTGGTATATGACAGCTGATAGAACACTGATTAGAAAATTAATTAGTCCATTGGTATTTATCACAGATAATATTCAATCAGTAAAATTCATTTCATTTTAATTTGCTCCCAAACTTTAGTGATGTATGTGTCTCCTTCATTAAGGGACAGTAAATGCAGTTCTTGTTTAAATCTGCTGCATCAAGTTTAAAGTTTCAGAGCTGTAGAAAGAGCAGCTGTCATGTTAGAAATAAACAGAGGTAAAATAAATATATTCACATATGAGTTCACACAGTTATATTAATGCAAACACTCCTCTCTGGCTGTAACTGAAGCCACAGTGTTGCTTTTTACTTTTCAAGATTCTTCAAAGGAAGAAAGCCTGAGTTAACAGACAGTTTACAACCACCTTCATGGTATCTGTTATCTCTGACTGAGACTTTAGGGTCACACCCACCTGACTCCAAAATGGTTGCAACATGTGACCATTTGGTTGCAGTCTGGAGCCCTGTGTGTGTATGAGAGTGATGTAATGTCCATGTTTCCATGGTGAAAGAGGAAGTGCTGCTCTGACCCCCCTCCTCCTTTCAGGGTGGAGCCTGGTGGAGTCCGATGGTTGAGACCAGGTCTGAGGAAGTGTAAGTGTGTTTTTAATTTGATCTTCAGACTGTGACATCACTCATTCAAATCTCTGATGTCATCATCAGAGTGATGATAGATGAATAACTGCAGCTGTATTGTGTCTTCTTCTCTCCATCAGATTACTGTGAACTCACAATCGACACAAACACAGTGAACGGACACCTCAAGCTGTCTGACAACAACAGGAAGGTGACACATGTTATGGAGGAGGATCAGTCATATCCTGATCATCCAGACAGATTTGACATCTTGACTCAGCTGCTGTGTAGAACTGGTCTGACTGGTCGTTGTTACTGGGAGGTCAAGTGGAGAGGAGGGGTTTATATATCAGTGAGTTACAGAGGAATTAGGAGGAGAGGAAACAGAGAGGACTGTGTGTTTGGAAGGAATGATCAGTCCTGGAGTCTGATCTGCTTTAATGGTTATCGTTACTCTGTCTGGCACAATAACAGAACGACATCCATCTCCATCTCCTCCTCCTCCTCCTCCTCCTCCTCCTCCTCCTCTGGTAGAGTAGCAGTGTATGTGGACTGTCCTGCTGGCACTCTGTCCTTCTTCAGAGTCTCCTCTGACACACTGATCCACCTCCACACCTTCAACACCACATTCACTGAACCTCTTTATCCTGGGTTTTTGCTCTGGTCACGTGATTCCTCAGTGTCTCTGTGTTCTCTGTAGGAGGGAGAGTCTCCTCCTGTTAGAGAAACTTTCTCACTGCTGAACAGATAGTTCAGTCTGTACAGGATCACACACAGCTGATGGTAGTTCACAGAATGTGTGTAGGATGCAGTATTGAGTTTTTATGTGATGCATAATTACAGTGCAGTAGACGACTCTATCTTTTGATGCTGTTTTGCAGTATTTTCTATTTTGTTATCGTTGTTGGCTAATCTAAGTAACCTGCTTTAGTCTCTTTCAGCATTCAACGTGAATAAGGATCTGTTTAATTGAAGAAAAGCCTCTAATAAAGTTCTGCTAATTCAGTAATAAACATATTTTAACTCCTTTAGAGTCTTAAAAATAAAAGCCCACATTATTTTGTTGTGTAAAAACTTTTATTGTGAAGCAGCAAAATAAGGAAATGTTGGGTTTTTGAGCACCAGCTTCACACAACTTCAAATACGGCTGATAGTGAACATGAAACAGTAAAATAAAACAGATATGTAAAGTAAAAACAGGATGCAGGAGAGAAACTAAACCCCAAACCACAGTTAGAAGCTATAAAAGTACTGGGAGCTGAACACAGAGATTTTTAAAGACACCTGTCTGTCTGGTCTCCAGCAGACAGAGATGAGGAGAGTCTCACAACACACACGGCTTGTTTGAGGGGTCATCAGGTGTTGGCTGCGGTCGGCGAGAGGCCACCGCTACCCACTTGAGTGAGGGCAGCCCGGCTTTTGGACCTACTCCGGAGAAGGAGTACTAATATCAGTTTATACATTTCGAAAGCAGCAACAGGAAATGGGATCATATTTACTGTACACTGGTTGGCTGCAGTGGACAAACGGAAAACTGTGCAGAGGACTCATCCAGGTCACTGTAGTCTTGGAGCTGTAAAAGGTACAGTTTCTTACACAACTTTGTTTCTACTATATGTAATGATTTGTGTTCAGAAAACAGATTGCAAACAGTCTTAAAAATGATTGAATGAATTGATA